CACACACACACACACACCAGCAGTACGTCCTGCACAGCGGGAGGGGACAAGGGGGAAAAAAGGCAGAAACACGGGGGCAGCTGCAGCCCTAACGGACCGAACTTCAGTCAAACAAGACCCAACACTTTTATTCCTGATTTTAACTAGCGATCTTGTGAGCAGCTGCAGCTGTATGCTTTTATTTTTTTTATGTCAGGCTGTCACGGAGCGCTCCTCTGTCCGGTGCTGGTGTGGTGTGAGGAGGACAGCTAAGCCGAGGCTGCTGGAGCTGGAGCTTCATGTCCTGACCCAGGGAGCCAACATGAGTCAGTCCCAGACTGAGCTGACTTGATCAAGYCTCTCTCTGCCTCTGGTGAGGAGGGGGGTGAAAATCCTCCACCTCAGACGTTCAGAGATGTAACTATCTGCGTCGCTGTGGTCACTCTCCATGTAGCATCAATTATGCTAATGCTAGCTGTCGCGTTCTCTCGTTCTGGCCACACCTCTGCTCTCTAACATTGTTTGAACTCTGACTCTTCTTCATCTCTCTGATAGAGACTCAAAATGATCTAAAGAAACAGATTCTTCTCTACAGACTGTGTCATCAGACATTTTATCAACACTCTGCTCACATGTAGACATTCCCCTTTGACATCACTTCCTGTTGCTTTACATGCAAATATCTCAACAACTGTTCATCTCAGCGGCGTGAAATTTGTTTTGCAACATGTTATCAGTGTTGTCTTTCCAAAAATGAGTTCAAATTTATGACAAAATCTGATGTCACAGGCACTTTAAAAGCGTCATATGTCTACTTTAATTTAAACCTGTTGATTCTGAAACATCAGCATCAATCTCAGATTGTTGTGAACGACTCTCAGCTACTACCAGGCCAATTTTTAGCTCGGCATCTTTAAAATTAACTTAATTATAACCATTTGTGTGGGTTAGGATCACTTGGCTGGGAGCACAAAGACGTCGCCAAAACAGTCCGGTTCTGGTTTTGCCTTTGTTGGAGGGTGAAGATTAAGCTTAAACAGGCTTTTTTGTAAAAAATAAATAAAAAAATCACTTTTAATTGTTGCAAATCTATCTAATATTTAATGTAAAATTGAATTTCTGCATCATAAAATGTAAGAAAAGTAGTTTTATCAGTCCGTGTGTACACATTAATAATTGAGACTCGTGTATGTGCTCTCCTGTGTGACATTTCCACTCCCCCCCCCCACTGTGTGTGTGTGTGTGTACATTTGTGCACAAATGTGAGCATAGTTAGGACTGTAATTAGGGATTCTGCGAGTGTGTAAGGGACTGTGTGAAGTGTGTGTTGAAAACAAAGCGCTAGCTGATAATGTGTCCATTGTGGCGGGTGCATTAAGGCCCTCTTTGTCTCAGGGCCCACAGGGCTAATGATTCTCTAGCAGCAGGTGAGAGGGGGAAAAAGCCTCTCTCTGTCTGTCTCCCTCCGTCCTCCACTTGTCTCTCTCGCTCCCTTTCCCTTTTGCTCACTTGTTTTTGTTTTTCAGATTTGCTCTCTTTTCGATTATCAGCTTCTCTCCTTCCGCCGCTCTCTCCCCATCTCTCCTGCTGATGCGGCCATTAGGCTGAGCTGCCGCTGCCTTTATTACAGCAAATGGACTTTAAATGAGCTTTATTGTCATGTTGGCCAGCCATCTGAATCCCCCCTCTCTCTCTCTCTCTCTCCCTCCCTCCTTACCCTTCCCATCCCTCCTCTAAACAGAGGCCCCCAGCATTGAGAGGCTGTTGTCAAAGGACTGGAAGGATAAACTTTTGGCCATGGGCTCAGGGCACATCGGAGAAATTAAAGGTACGACCTCAGAGCTGAACGTAACACTGATTCCACTGAAAAGGCACACAAACAGTCTGTTMGCTTAACAAAAGATGCAGATTATTTTCTAAATTCTCAGGTGCAGGCAGACTAAAACATCCCATTAATCCAAAATACAGCTCTAGAATTACAAAAAACCGAAGTGAGCGACTCAGCGATATTTGCAAACGCCGTTCAAACTGGCTTAACCTTTAAAATATGGTCAAACTGTTCAAATTTTGTGTATTTTCTTGCTTCCCATCAGGCAGACATGCAGTTGAGTGTTTCTGGAAAAGGTTCATTCACAATCTGACACGGTCTTTTTGATCTTGTTTTGAGACTGGTTTACTAAACAAGAGCTGATTGTGTAAGAATAATAATCTTGTTTTCAGAATGTGTAAGATTATTTGTCTTGTTAGTCTGAAAATTTGACTCAAGTTAAGTCAAAATTTCTGCCAATGGAGTAAGAAAATTTTACTTGGTAAGACTTCATGAAATACTTCATTTTACTCAATTTTTTTCTAATTTCAAGAATGGAATTGGATGGAAGTTTTACAAACGACCYAACGACAGGATGAGTTCAAATGAAGTGAATGTAAAGGAAATTAAAGTTGAAGAAGCAAATCGATGCATCTGCACCTGCTTTTTTCAATGAATGAGGTAAAAGCTGAGAAGTAGAGACCAGCTTTTATTCGCCGTAACACCAAGCTGCCGTTTTTTTAAGTAATTGAGYTTCATTAGGAAGCAAAGCAATATGTAATCAAAGAGCTTTGCAGAGCAGCGTGGCCATTGAGAGGGGAGCTCCATTGATCAAACCCTTTTTTCCCAGCTCCCTGCCGCGCTGACATTTCTGTGCAGGGGCGTCCCGCTTGGCCCAGCCAAACGTGCGCGCCGTGCACGTACGAGGGTTCACGCCTGAAGCGAAGCGGCGTTGCTGCTCCCGCACCGTCGGCGCATCTCTTGCACATCGAATTCCAGTGAAGAGCTTTAAACAGAGTGCTTGTGAAGCAGCAGCTCCTGCTCTGCTGGCCTCGCCGAGGAGAAGCTCTGGTAAAAGAGTGGTTCCCCCACTGCGAGGCTCGTCCACTCACTCAAACTCCAGTGTGATAATAAACCTGCCCGTAGTGTCATCGGCATTAAACATGCTCCGGTAGAGAGCCAAGTGTGAGAGGTGCATCTTTAAACACCTTCTTCACAAACCACATTAGAGTTTTTACATATTTTTACAAAACTGCTCAAAACATTTAAGATTTTAAACAATTTTAACTAGATACTGCATTTATGACTCCCTGCACATWTGCAAAGCACTAATGCACCAGAACTCAACAGAACAGGGGTCGATGAATAGCCCTTAATCAGAGCTAAACAATAAAAAGACTCTGAAGCTCTTATGTTGTACAGATTTGAGTTATGTGCATTTTTGTATGCCCCCCCCCTTTTCAGATGGAGCCCCCTCCTCAAATATGGGGTCTATCATAAAACTGTTGGCTGGCTCAGTGTAGCTCAGACTCACCTACAGTCCTGACAAATTTCATGTTGATCGGTGCAGCCGTTTGTGTTAGAGTTGATTAAAAGTCACTGAAAAAAACGAATGAACAGTACAAAAACAATATCACCTCCACTTTGTGTGCTAAATCCTTGGTAGCTAAATCTTAAATTTTTCATACACTAAAATAAATCTGACAAATTTAGTCTCAAAATAGTCAATGCAGCATCTCAAACCCRTACAGCTGGATTTCAACACCTGCATTGAAGTTCTCTGACAAAAACACCTAAATGTTTAAAAACCTCACCAATAATCAATAATAATTAATAAAAAACTGGTTCAGATTTGAATTTTTACAGCATATATCAGCAGATTAAGTCATCCGTTGCTACCAAGGTGATTACAATCCACACAAACACGCACGATACATGCCTCGATTAAAAAAAAACAAAAATGAAGAGTTTCTAATGGCAACTGCAAACACTGAATCCAGTGAGGCTGAATTTGGCTGTTTTCTCCCAGTTTTYAGGCTCAAACCACCTTTCAGAAGAAAAATAAACTACCTTAAAGCTTTAAATGTGTTTTTAAACTGCACACACGTGTCAGACCAAGTCAAACGCTCAGGAGGCAGAAACCAACRCTGCAGCCATTTGCTGTGTTTATAACTACAGTTTGGTGTTTTGATTTGAGAGCAGGAGCTTTTATATCTTAATGAGGRCTTGTGAATGATGTAACGGGATGTGACTGGTCTGAACAAACACATCAGCTCCAACTTGGGAGTCCTCCACTGGTGAAAGTCAYGTGCAGAAATAACCGTCGACTCTTGCGCAATCACATCATTCTATAKTGGGACTAACAGTCCTAACGCTCCTCAGAACGGTTTGGTCTAAAAGCATTTAAAGAAACCAGCTTGGCAGTCCAAGCAGAGAACAGGGACGAGTCAAGAGAAAGCACTGCTTCTACACTGAGGGAAGTCATTACAAAAAGGCTGCACGTCCACTGCTTACAAACACAAACATGGTGTGACAAATAGTCAAAAAGTGACCAAGATCCCAAAGGAACCAACAAAGTGAAACAGGAAGTGAGCTGCAGAGCAGTGTGCGATGACTCAAAATGACAAAAACTGGGAAAACAAGGTCATTGTAACAAAACAAACAGTTCAGATATCATCAGAAGGTCTGTATTTGACTTGATGTGAGAAAGAAATGAGGTAATCCTCTACTAGAACTGGTTTTTATAACGGCCTCAGCTGACGACGTGATGGAGACGGGAGTTTTGACCCCGCCCTGCGTTACTGGATGTTTCATCTGCAGCTTGTTGGACGGATGGACAGATCCGYTAATCAGAAAGATTTTAAACTTTTCCAACAAGTCAAAGCTTAYTTTGAATGAGGTTAGTTAAAGTATATGCTTAACAATTACTTAAATTATGTTAAAGATTATCTAATTAAATTATTAATAGTAATTGATTCTTTAAAGTTCCATGAAAAAAACTACTTCCTGTCTGTCACGCTGCTGCTCCTCGTCTCTCTCCTCCTTACCCAAGAGGAGTTATCAGCACAGCCAGGGTCATTAATTAGCAGTGCAAGCACGGTGACAAGTATTACATTGTTAGAAACTGGTTAATTACCCGTGTGTGTGTGTGTGTGTGTGTGTGTGTGTGTGTGTGTGTGTGTGTGTGTGTGTG